CTCGCCGCGAGAAGGCGGCGTGGGCCCTGGCCCTCCGGGCGGTCGGCCGCGACGAGGGGCAGAGGGTCAGCAGGGAGCGGATGAGGTCCATGCCAGCATCGCCCAGCTCCGGGCGTCGGTCGCGGATCGCCTCGAGGCCCGTGGGCGGCCAGCGCGGGAAGCTGGGGCTCCAGAGCGAGAGGGTCCGCTCGAAGCCGGGCCAGGTGGCCTCCGTGGGGGAGCCCAGCAGCTGCATGATCTTGAAGGCAGTGCCGATCTCGGAGTCCCCCGGAAATATCGGGTAAGCAGTGGCGATCTCGGCGAGGATGCACCCCGTGGACCAGATGTCCACCTCCGTCCCGTAGTTGGGATACCCCAGCAGCAGCTCTGGGCCGCGGTACCACAGGGTGATGACCTCCTGGGTGTAGCTCTGGACCGGGAGCGAGAAGGTGCGGGCCAGGCCAAAGTCGCAGATCTTAAGACCATCCACAGGATGGATGAGGAGGTTCTGCGGCTTGAGGTCACGATGGATCACCATACGCACATGGCACGCGTGGGCTCCGGTGAGAAGATCCTGCGAATAGCGCAGGACCTCCTCCATGGCCAGCTGGGTGCCCTCCCTCCGGTGGCCCTTCAGGACCTGGTGCAGGTCGTCCGGAACATACTCGAAGATCAGCTCGAGCCCGCCGAGGCCACCGACCTGCAGGTCCCTCAGCCGCACGATGTTCGGGTGGACGAGGTCGCGCAGCAGAGACACCTCGCGGAGGACGTGCGCAGGCAGCCCGTCGCCGCGGTCCTCGCCGGGCCCCGGGCGCTTGAGCGCCACCCTGTCGTCGGTCTCTCGGTCCTGAGGGGCAGCGATAGGGGGGGACTGGCATAGGGGGGATGCATCGACCTGGAAGCGGCGATACCTCGCCGATAGATCGGCGATGGGCCTCCGATCGTGAGTCCGCACCTCCCTGGGCAGGCTGGGGCCACCGGGCCCCCATCACAGCGACCCATGGGCGATGGGGGGCCCATGCGTCCCCCCCTGTGCCTATCCCAGGAGGAGGAGGAGGAGGAGGAGGAGGAGGAGGAGGAGGAGGAGGAGGAGGAGGGGGAGGGGGAGGGGGAGGAGGAGGCGGAGGAGGAGGAGGAGGAGGAGGAGGAGGAGGAGGAGGAGGAGGAGGAGGAGTAGTAGGAGGAGGGAGGTCCCTTGCCAGGAAGACCGCCCCGTAGGCCCCGGTGCCCAGAGATCCGACGTCGTGATTTTTTCAATGCGCGGTCCCTGGAAGTCTCGACCCATTCCCCAGGACCGGTTTTTCATCCCGAGTCGTTTTTTGACGGTCCCGAGGCCCGGCGAGGGCCCCTGGGGGCCGAAATCTGAGGAAATCCTCCGTCTAGATTTTGTCACTGCGTGGGATCTCTGGGGGCCCCCTCGAGGTCCCTCGCCAGGAAGACCGCCCCGTAGGCCCCGGTGCCCACCAGGCGCAGGGCCTCGTACCGCGGGCGCCCTGCCGCCTCCCGCGCGGGCCCCGGCGCGCCCGAGGCGACCGCGGCCGCGGCCGCCGCCGCGCCCGCGCCCGGGGAGGCCCGCCTCGGGCCCGGCAGGCCCCGCGCCTCCTCCTCGCGGCGGCGGCGATCGGGGCGAGTAGCCCCAGAGGTGGACCATACCCAGAGATCCAACGTATTGAAAAAATGATCCCGGCAAAGCAACCTAACAGCGATGTGTAGAAGCATATATGAAAGCATTCCCCTTAAGATTCAGATGAAAATCCAGTTGTAGAATTCTGCTGTTCTCGCAGTCGTAGTCGCATTCGCGATGACAGTCGCAGCGGCAACGGCAGTCGCAGTCACAGCCTCAGCCTCAGCCTGCCTCCAGCCTCAGCCTGCCTCAGCCTCAGCCTCAGCCTGCCTCAGCCTCAGCCTCAGCCTGCTTCAGCCTCAGCCTCAGTCTGCCTTCAGCCTCGGCCTCAGCCTCAGCCTGCCTCAGCCTCAGCCTGCATCAGCCTCAGCCTCAGCCTCAGCCTGCCTCAGCATCAGCCTGCCTCAGCCTCAGCCTGCCTCAGCCTCAGCCTCAGTCTGCTTCAGCCTCAGCCTCAGTCTGCCTTCAGCCTCGGCCTCAGCCTCAGCCTGCCTCAGCCTCAGCCTGCCTCGGCCTCAGCATCAGCCTGCCTCAGCATTCAAAATGTGGCCCAGGAGCGGAGTTCTGGGAACTAGAAGAACACGAAGTGGCCTACAGTTGGCTCCGGGCATTCAAAATCATGCCCAGGAATGGAGTTCTGGGAACTTGAAGAGCACGAAGTGGCCTACAGTTGGCTCCGGGCATCCAAAATGTGGCCCGGGAATGGAGTTCTGGGAAATCGAAGAGCACGAAGTGGCCTACAGTTGGCTCCGGGCATCCAAAATGTGGCCCGGGAATGGAGTTCTGGGAAGTCGAAGAGCACGAAGTGGCCTACAGTTGGATCCGGGCATTCAGAATGTGGCCCGGGAATGGAGTTCTGGGAGGTCGAAGAGCACGAAATGTGTGACTGTTTGCGAAAAACGAGTGCGGCGGCAGCCGCGCTGGCAGCCTCCCCGGGTCCCGCCCAGACCCCCCTGAGGAGTCAAGATGCTCTTTTGAGACCACTAGAAACCTATCATCAAGAGCTGTTAGGTAATCATGACGCAAGTTTTCCGCAATTTTCGGCCTCAAGGGGCCCTCGCCGGGCCCCGGGACTGTCAAAAAACGACTCAGGATGAAAAACCAGTTCTGGGGAATGGGTCGAGACCTCTGGGAACCCCGTATTGATATCCCGGCAAAGCAACCTAACAGCGATGTGTAGAAGCATATCTGAAAGCATTCCCCGTAAGATTCAGATGAAAATCCAGTTGACGAATTCTGCTGTTCTCGCAGTCGTAGTCGCATTCGCGATGACAGTCGCAGCGGCAACGGCAGTCGCAGTCACAGCCTCAGCCTCAGCCTGCCTCAGCCTCAGCCTCAGCCTGCCTCAGCCTCAGCCTGCCTCAGCCTCAGCCTCAGCCTGCTTCAGCCTCAGCCTCAGTCTGCCTTCAGCCTCGGTCAGCCTCAGCATCAGCCTGCCTCAGCCTCAGCCTGCCTCAGCCTCAGCCTCAGCCTGCCTCAGCCTCAGCCTCAGCCTTCTTCAGCCTCAGCCTCAGTCTCGCCTTCAGCCTCAGCCTCGCCTCAGCCTCAGCCTGCCTCAGCCTCAGCCTGCTGCCTCGGGCCTCAGCATCAGCCTGCCTCAGCATTCAAAATGTGGCCCGGGAATGGAGTTCTGGGAACTCGAAGAACACGAAGTGGCCTACAGTTGGCTCCGGGCATTCAAAATCATGCCCAGGAATGGAGTTCTGGGAACTTGAAGAGCACGAAGCGGCCTACAGTTGGCTCCGGGCATCCAAAATGTGGCCCGGGAATGGAGTTCTGGGAAATCGAACAGCACGAAGTGGCCTACAGTTGGCTCCGGGCATCCAACATGTGGCCCGGGAATGGAGTTCTGGGAAGTCGAAGAGCACGAAGTGGCCTACAGTTGGCTCCGGGCATCCAAAATGTGGCCCGGGAATGGAGTTCTGGGAGCACCAAGAGCGATTTTGCGAGGGTGTCCCAAGCGATTTGGGCTTCGACGGCAGCCGCCCCGGGTCCCGCCCCGACCCCCCTGTGGAGTCATCTGCTGCTCTCTTTTGAGACCACTAGAAACCTATCAGCAAAAGCTGTTAGGAAAACAAAATCAAGACGTCGGATCTCTGGGTACATGTACTCAGGGGCGCCGATGATCTATGTCTTCGAAGAGGCTTCCGGGCGAGTGCGTGTACTGCCCGCCCCTGGGGCCATTCGCCCACATCGTCGCCGCCGATCCTCCGCCGGGCGGGCCGGGCCGGCGGCGGGCATGTCCCGGCGGGCGGGAGAGGGGGTGCTCTCTGCGCACGCTGCGCACCCCGCGGGCACGCAGGAGGCCTGCACGGGCCGAAGCGGCTTGGGCCCAAAGGACTGCCCAGACAGGATCGCGTCTCAGAAAAAATCAGGGCGGGAAGGTTTCGGCCATTCTCGGCCTCGGGGGGCCTCCATCCGGCCTCGGGGCCATCAGAAGACGATCCAGGACGAAAAACCGGTCCCGGTGAAAGGGTCGGGACTTTCAGGGACGCCGTCCAGAAAAAAACAGGAGGTCGCATGTCTGGGTACGGAAGAGATCAGGTGCACTCGACGCGGTACGGCCCATACAGGAGGAGCTTGGGAGGAGGGTTTATGGCAACATCGTTGGACCCTATTGTTGGATTTGCACTGGTCCGCCTTTCAAAACTTTTCCAACCTACATAGGAGGGACAGCCCCTCCGAAAGGTTATGCCGAAGGGGCCTCACTCCACGCCAATTCGATGCTGGCCGACCTCCGCGCGACCTGGGAGGTGGAGGAGGAGGAGGAGGAGCAGGAGGAGGAGGAGCAGGAGGAGGAGGAGGAGGAGGAGGAGGAGGAGGAGGAGGAGGAGGAGGAGGAGGAAAAAGAGCAGGAGGAGGAAGAGGAGGAGGAGGAGGATGGCACAGTACATGTGCCAGAGTGGGTGGAACTCCACTCTCCCTATCGCCCCTGGCAACAGCCCTCTCTGTAATTTCCGCAAGTCCGACTTGATAATGGGTTTGCACGTGGTCGCGCGGAGTTGCACTGCACGACTCGACGCGACTGCACCACATGCATTGCAAACGATAACAAACATATGCGGCATACCGGTCGACGACACCACCGTCACCAGAAGAGTACGCTTGCACTCTGGACTCCTCGCTGCGCAGCGACTGGCCCTCCTCCTTTTCCTCCTCCTCTTCCTCCTCCTCCTCTTCCTCGTCCTCCTCCTCCTCTTCCTCGTCCTCCTCCTCCTCCTTCTCGTTCCCTCTATTTTCCCCTGCGGCTCTGCGAGGATGCTTGGGCTCCGCACCCCCCTGCCGACGTCGCAGACTCGGGCCCCCCCGCGCGCGGGCGCGGCCTGCGGGGCTGTCCTCCTCGTGCTGGAAGCCCTGGGCCGGCGCGGCCGCGTTGCGCGGAGGAGGAGGAGGAGGAGGAGGAGGAGGAGGAGGAGGAGGAGGAGGAGGAGGAGGAGGAGGAGGAGGAGGAGGAGGAGGTGGCGGGGCGCACGCCGTTCGCGTGCTGCTCCTCGCCCTCGCTCTCGCCCTCGTCCTCGCCCTGGTCCTCCGCCTCCTGCCCGTTGTCCTCTGCCTCGTCCTCGTCCTCGTCCTCGCGCTCGTCCTGGTCCCCGTCCCGGTCCTCTGCCTCCCGGCCCTCGTTCTCGTCCTCCGCTTCGTCCCGGTCCTCGTCTTCGTCCTGGTCTGCGTCCTCGTCCTTGCTCTCGTCCTCGCCCTGGTCCTCCGCCTCCGCGTCCTTGCCCTTATCCTGGTCCTCCGCCTCGTCCTGGTCCTCGACCTGGTCCTGGTCCCCGCCCTGGTCCTCGTTCTCGTCTTCGCCCTCATGCTCTGTCATCCCCCAGACACACAATCCACAACTGTAGATGTGTGGGGGGAGGGGGGGGGAGGATAGGGGGGGAGGGGGAAGGGATGAGAGAGGAGGGGGGGGAGGGGAAGGAGGAGGAGGAGGAGGGAGGAAGGGGGCAGGGGAAGGGAGGAGGGAGGGAGGAGGACGAGGGGTTGTGTGCCACAACGCCACACTCCACCGTGCTGTTGTTTTTTCCCTCCCCTCCCCACACGCCCCACACCACCGGACCTTCTCCGTTTTTGCCTCAGTCTCAGGCTCTTGTCAGCCGCCCCCGGGCCCCTCGGGGGCCATCTGCAGAGTTGGTCTGGGCGAAGAACTGCCCTTGGGGACGGGGTCGATCGGAAGCTTTGGGGCTGCGGATGGGAGAACATCGCATCATCGGAGGTCTGGGTCTCGTCCTCCGCCTCTTGCTCCTTCTCCCCCTCCTCCTCCTCCTCCTCCTCCTCCTCCTCCTCCTCCTCCAATTCCTTCTTGGCGCCTCGACGCTGAAGGTCGTTTCGCCTGGAGAACCCTTCTCCGGGACTGGTTTTTCATCCTGAACCATTTTTTCACACTCCTGAGGCCCGAAAAGGGCCCCTGGAGGCCGAAAATACAGTGAAGGCCGGTCCACGAGAAACCCATCTCAAGAAACCCAACCCTGAGACCTCAAGACGTCCCTTGATTTTGGGTGTGGGACCGTCGCGCTCTCCATCGCAAAGCCATCGAAAACCAGGAAACCCAGGGCACCTTGGAGGCAAGCAGGGTGTTTCTTGGCATGGGCCTCCACTGTACGAGACCCCCTTCTTGAGGCACCCGTGGAGTCTGGGTGCAAGAAGGAGGGCCAGGTCGGCGGCGAGCGACGGGGGGAGAACCGAGGAGGAGACAGCCTTCTCAGACGGCGGCAGGACTTCCTGGAAGCCCTTGCGCCTTGTGGGAAGTTTTCTGCGTCTTCAGGCTGCACGTCGTTGATTTCTAAGCGTGCTGATTTCTAATTGTGCTCGTTTCTAACTATTCCTGGCCCCCTAGTGGCCAGGAAGAGGCCCAGGATACAGTCGGACTCGATTGGACAAGACACGCGAGAGGACACAAGACCCTTCCGAGGGCCACATCGCCGCAAGAATCTAGGAAGCATGGGTCGCGAGACACAGGACATACGGGTGCCCTTGATTTGGCAGGGTCGACCTGCTAATCTGGGCCGACTGTAGGCCAATTGGGAACGAAAGGATCCTGGCCCCCCAGAAAATCAAAGAACGTTCGCAGACTCAGGAGTGAACAGTGTGTAGGCTGTAGCGAGACGCCTCCCGCCGTGGCCTGGGGCCCCCGCCCCCCGAGGCGGTCCTGGCCCTCGCAGCCCGTCACGGCCAGCTCGGCCTCCAGCACCTGGCGGTCCTGTCGCCGGCGAAGGGGTCGGGGTGGGGGAGGCGGCGGGGAGGGCGACCGGGGACGTGGGGGGTGGGCTGGGATGAGATGGGTCGATTTGGTCGCGTGGGAGGAGTGGGAGGTGGAGGAGGAGGAGGAGGAGGAGGAGGAGGAGGAGGAGGAGGAGGAGGAGGAGGAGGAGGAGGAGGAGGAGGAGGAGGGGGGGGCTCCAAAGTGCACTTCCAGCATGGTAGCCACTGCTAACTCCTAGGCCCCTCATCCCACGCCTACCTCTCGAGGATCGTGCACTTCCCGCATTCCCAGGCGCTGCTCCTAAGCGCTCCAGGGCCTCCCGATCAATGATCCCTCGTTGAAGCGATGGATATGAGTCCCAGGCTTCCAGAGCAGCACGTGCAGACAACCAACGATACCAAGATGGCCCAACATGCCTCGAAGACGGCCCAAGATGATCCCAAGGCGGCCGAATATTGGTACAAGATGGCCCAATATGCGTCCAAGAGGGCAAACAATGGCCACAATAGGACCTGCATCATGGTCCGAAGAAACCCACATCATTCATTGTCCGTAGGTTCTTGGATGATTTCCGTAGTCTCGCCTTTTCGGGCTGCCGTCAGCTCATGACGGCCTCAATGGACTCCACGATGGCCCAAGAGGCATCCAAGACGGCCCCGAGATGGCCCATGAGGACCTCCCGTGGGACCCAAGACGGCCT